GGCAACAAGGTTGATTGCTGTCAAAACTTCATTAGTTATATAACTAATTATGATGCTGTGACAAGAGAAGGACAAGGGGGGACATGATAGCAGTGTTCCAATATTTCAGGGGCTGCCACAAAGAAGAGGAAGTCAAGCTATTTTCCAAGGTGCCTGAAGGTAGGACAAGAAGCAATGGATGGAAACTGATCACGGAAAGAAGCAACCTAGAACTAAAGAGAAACTTCCTGACAGTTAGAACAATTAATCAGTGGAACAACCTGCCTCCAGAAGCGGTGAATGCTCCAACACTGGAAGTTTTTAAGAACAGACTGGACAGCCATTTGTCCGAAATGGTATATGCCAGGGTTTCTTGCCTGAGCAGGGGGTTGGACTTGATGACCTCCAAGGTCCCTTCCAACATTATTATTACTACTACTACTACTTATACCTTCTGTTATTGGTTTCCATGAGACTCACATTGCATCGAGCCCTGTGAAAGTATAAAGTAAAAATGCCTTGGCTAGTAGGCCGTGTCAAGAAGGGAGGAGGGCAACCAGAAAAGGAGGAATGAACATCAGAAGGATAAAACATGACATTTGAAAACAGAGGTGGGGAAACGCACCTGGCTGGAGGGGACGAATAGTGCCAGGAGGTAGGAAACACCTTCCATGAAGACTTTCCCTGAGGTCCTGCCCTCTGACGTCAACACTTCTTTAGGAATTTGTTCTCCAGCTCTTGCATCACTTTCAGCACCCTCCCCTGCTTTTCTGAGGAATAATACATGATACGGTAAGTCTCTTCTAGGCAATCCTTGATTGAATTTCCCAGGAGGTGGCTGCACCCCTCCCTTCCCTTTAAACTCTGTCCTGCTATAGAGAGGATGTGGTTGCGGCAGCTGCACTCAGATTTTACTCTGGAATAGGTTGGGGCAGCAGTGGGGACAATTGCCCTTGAATCAACATGTGGAGGAGATGCCATTGAAAGCAGTGATGGCAAACCTTTTAGAGACCAAGTGCCCAAACTGCAACCCAAAACCCACTTATGCATCGTCAGGTGCTGTGTGGGTGTGGCCCATTGGGTGGGCGTGGCTGCGGTGGTAACAGCAGACTGGATGGGATTAAAAAGTTCAATCAATCAATTCCAACTTTGCAAGATCTGTTTTTCCCTGCAAGAAGTTGAAATTGACTGATTGATTGAACCCCCTTTTTTTTTTTGCACACAGCGGCAGAGGCCTAAAGCGAAAAGGTTTTATAAAACCCAGCTGAAGGCCTAGGACTGGGGCAATGGCGTGCATGCCCACAGAGAGGGCTCTGAGTGCCGCCTCTGGCACCCATGCCATAGGTTCGCCACCACTGATCTAAAGCATTGCTCATTATTCAAAGTGACTAGAGGGAGCAATACTTTTCATTCAGGGCAGCTAAACCATAGCCCCAGGAGTTATTTCAATGTTCTGGATTTGCAGGACCACTGACTTCAATTGATTTTAAAAAATGGCAGTAGAAATATGTTGACGGTCTGAAGAAACGTGGGTGGGTCTCAAATTAACATCCTGCCCCAGGCCTCTTAGAAGGGCGGGTCTGGAGAATACCACTGTTTTCTACCTGTCACGTTTTCTGTTGAAGGAATGCCAGTTTCACTTGAAATTAAGGCAAAGGCTCCAATTCAAAACCTAGTTCCTAAATGAAGAAGCATTACTGAGCACACCTATTATATGCATTTCTGAGTAAGTTGCTACTATGAACCAGGAAGAATGTTTGGGATGCTTAGCTCTGGTCAGACATCTAAACACGCAACTAATTTGTCAATATTGGGGGGGGGGCTACTCATCAACCCTTATACTTGCACAGAACTGGATTCTTAAACCTCTAATCTGGTTTATTTCATCTGCTGTTCAGCAGACAATAAACAAACACTGAGCTTAGGCTGCAAGACTATGAACATTTACACTGGAGTAAACTCCACTCAAGCTAACGAGACCTACTTCCGAGTAAATGTGCAGGGACAGAATCGGGACTTGAATTTGAATTTGAGTATCAGGCTGGGTATTTCAGCTCCACTGTATAAATTTGTATCAGTCAATTTGCCAAATGCTGGATCATTTTCCTTGGGAAAGTTGTCATCATGAAACACCAGGTAAAGTAATACTTAAGCCACACAAAGATTATAAAAGAAAAAAGGAACCAGTAGTAGCTTTTCACATTTATCAGCCATCTATAGAGTTTGGATATCGGGTCAGCTTATTTTCATTCCTTGGTTGCTTCCAGATTCTGGGCCATGGGCCCCGACACACAGCTGCACTGTTTCAGTTCTTGGGGGGGGGGGGGAGAGAAAGTTGGCAACCTCACACCAACCCCTGTTCCCAGGCCCACCCACATATTGCTGACAAGAAGAAATGGTCTGTTCCAAGCGGAAAGCTGCAAAACACCATGGACAACCTGAGCGTGTTTGTTTAGAGAAGTAAGTCTGGGTTGGTTGAATTTCCTCAAGTCAATGAAAGGCTTTGAGTCCATTCTGAGAACTAACGATCAGCTTTCTTGAGAACATAATAAAGGCTTTTTATAGGTCACTTGCCTTCAGTCACCCAGTGCAGAGTTTAGCCCAGGATTCGCCTATGCAAGCATGCAACAAACATTTTATATAATGGCTGTAGAGGGGATCATTTTAACTTGCCTTTGCCTGCAAGGCGTCTGCAAGGAGGTTGCACAATACCTCATCCCAGAGGCAGCTGTATTTCAGCAGCACTAAACGGTATCTGGGTAGCCAGAGTCACAAGCAGTCTCCCAAGTTATTCTCAGTTCTTATGAATGTTGCTTTGTACAGTGATACTGAAAGACTGTGGGCCTAGAACACGACTGACCATGGGTGAAATGGGATCTGTTTTGAAACAAAAATGTCTGTAGTTCCTCTAGCTGGAAATCAAAACTCTAGAAGGATTTGAAGAGGTTGGTTTTAAAAGCTGAACAATCTTGACAAGGCGTACAGATGTGGCACTGGTGATGGCTGTTGAAGTTCATTTCATGTCTGTTCTATGTACTGAAAAATGTACCACACTCCAACCTAAAGTGCTTTTGATCTCCTGCCCTCAAGTCTTAGTTGCCTGCCAGCAATGCCTGTTTGGTTACACCCGAATCACTCAGATAAGCAAAGCTTGTCTTAGCCTGGCACCAGAATGCACAGCAACCCTTTTGCTGGACAATGCCCACATCTGCATAGTAAAAGTTTTAGCGTAATCTCCTAATCATAAACACCCATTATGCATAAAGGTGTCATCTAATCTGAAACCATGCATATTTTTGAAACATTCTGGTTGGCAGTTATAAAAGTTGACAGTGACAACTTGGCATTTGGGATTTTTTTATCTTATAGAAACATAGAAAACCGACAGCAGAAAAAGACCTATTGTAGTGGCCCTTTGAATTTGTTTTTTGTTTTCTTTTAATTTATAATTTTTAGTTATTTTAATATTTTATTTTGCTGTAAAATGTATGTGTGCATGAAGGAGATATATATTTGTGCAACTATCAGATTGTTGCATTTATACCAGACTTAATAGGGAAACTGCAAGAAGTGCCCCATTCGGCAGAGTTGATCTTTATTCCTGTGACATATTAAAGCCATATTAAAACCTTTGAAAGCGTAGTGAAGGTAGAACATATAGATAAACCTATTATTTTTTTATTAACTTTTTGCTGCCCATTTCACCACATGCGCAATGTAAACATTACATTACAGATATCCACCACCCCTTTGGTGCTTTAGTTTGGGAACTATCCTGGATGACAAGGATTATATGGGGATTTCCCTGCCATGAATATTTCAGCTAACTGGGCTTTATCAGCTCTGAATAATGTGAGTCCAATCATATATATTTGAAAAGCCTTTGAGTCAATGGGTTTAATTTCCAATTTAAGCAGGTTTATTTCTCAACAGCGCTCATGTTAATATTTCACATTAAGCTATATAAAATGAAACATGTTAGAAAGAGTCCAGTAAGTTCTTAGTTTTTTTTTTAAATCATCATTGCAGGTTACATAAGTGAGTGATTGTAGCTGGTAAAGTATGCATCTATTTAATTTTATACTGCCAACGCAGGAGACCAAGGCTGCATTTAAGAATGGGAGGAGGTTGAGGGTGCAAAGAGAAGGAGCCAATCAGAAATGCAAGCGTGACTAAGTATGGGTTAGTTTCATTTTTTTTAGCTATGATAAATTAAAGCTACTGTTCTCCTGGGTTTCCCAGCTGAAAGAGAGTTTTGAGAGCTGCATAGGATTCTATAACTCTCCTCTATTTTATTGGATTCAGCCTATGTAAAGATACTGCTAGATAATTATAAATCTACAGTAGTTCCAATAGTCAGAGAAAAATCCAGTGAAAGTTTATTGTCTGGTATCTAAGCATCAAGTCACCTCTGTACACCTCTATGTCCAATCATTTTGCACGGGCCAAATGTCAGAGAGGTAAGTTTAAAATAATTCAAGACATAATACTTTTTGTGGCAATTGTAAACTTGCACTTTACATACCCCAGAACTAGTCACCCAATAACACCTTACATGCTTGTGTGAGCAGAGGAATTCTGCATATTTACTTCACTGTGTTACTACCTCTGCATAGGCCCACAAAGTGTACTTGGGTTTACAGTTTTCACGTGATTTTGTACCAACCACAAAGCTGTCACGAGAACAATGCACATGAGTCAAGTGCTGTGTGATTCCAGCTAACTCACCCCTACCTTCTTAGGATGCCTCTGAGGTTTTAAGCAGCAGCATGCAATGTTTTGACACCTTTGCATCGTTAGTGGTCAAAAATCCGAAGGAATGTGGCAGCCTCCTTTCTGATGACTATCACATTTATGTAAAGGTGGCATGTATACCTTTTCACCAGCTAGACTGACTTTATCAGATGAATTCAACTACCTTAATTTGTCAGTCGGAAAAAGATGCTACCAGACTCCTTAGGATTTGAGGCCACCATAGGCACACAGGGCTCTCCTCCTACCTACAACAACGTCGGTGGGGATCCTACTTGGATGCCACTTCTGCTTAGACGGTAAAGGAGAGGAAAGGCTTCTCCCTCATGGTCGGACTTACTGGCCCCGCTTGGTGCACAAGGCAGAGGAGGCCACCACCCTCCTTCAGCTGCTCCTCTGCCACCAAGCGCCCAGGAAAAGAGTTCCAGCCTGGGCCGGGCTGGAGAGGCACTTCCCTAGGGTGGTTCCAGGCGGCAGCCCGTCTCAGGTTGTTCCTCGTTGCTTGCGTGGGTTGTCGGGCGGCTTCCTCCTAGTTGCTCCTCGGCGGCAGCGCCCTACAGAAGGTTGCCTCCCTCCTTAAAGCCACTTTAGGGCAATGGGGAGAGAGGCGGGATCGCCAGGCGCCTGGGGAGGAAGAGGCACTCCACTGGAGGCGGGCGCAGAGGCGGCGGCGGCGGCGGCGGCTTGCACAGGGGAAAGCAGCGAAGGGGGGCACGGCCGCCCGGAGCAGGTGGCCCCAGCGGACGAGCCGGATCAGGATTCCCCGTCCTACCAGGACAGACGACCAGAGACCACCGACCTCAGGCAAGTGGCTGGGATACTGCCTGGCATAACCCCCCCCCCCAAGCAGGGTGCCCTCTATCCCGTTCACGTCTGTGGCCGCGCCGGCTGGGAGCGATGGAAGTGCTCACCCCACGCGGCCGAAGGGCAGCAGCGACTTGGAGAAGGCAGGCTGGCGTGGAGGGGCCCGATGGGGAGGGAGAGAAGCCAAGGGATGACATGAATGTGGAAGAGGCGTCGGGAAGGAATAGGGGCGGTTAGGAAAAAGGATAACCCGGTGCGTCCGTTTCCCACGTCCGTGTGAGCGAGGCGAGAAAGGGGAGGATTGACCCGGGGGGGGGGGGGGGTTTCGCTAAGTTGGACCGAAGTCATCCCGCGCCGAGCGACTTCCCGCTTCTTTGCCAGTTTGCCCCCCAAAAACATCCCGGCGCGCTGGGAGAAATGAAGGAAGCAGGAAGCCTTTTTTTTTTTTTTCCCCTCTCCAAAGCGGGGTGGATTTATTTCAGCCCTGGAGACACCTTGACTCCCCAGAGTCAGAGACCACCTCTCCCCACAGCCGAGTACTTCTGTCTTGTCGGCGGAGGCCTGGTGGGGAACGCAGGAGACTTCTGGCGCCTTCAGTTTCGCGGGACAAAACTGCTGAAGATACGGTATCTACTGCATTCCCTTTTCTGTAAAGAAAAGAAAAGAGCCGCTCCTGAACACTTTCGGGCACCTGGGGCCTCCCAGGCAGCGGCTCCACCCCGGTGAGGGCAAATGAGGCCAACAAGAGCTTCTTTCCAGAGTATGAAACGCCCTTTTGGGCCCCAAACTCCCAGGTTTGCTGGGAGGACTCTCAATATGCTCAGACTAGGATGGGCCTGCTCTGTATCCTTGTATTATAAAGGCGTTGTGCTGACCCTGGCTATGAATAAAATAGGTCTAGTGAACTTTAGTAGAGAAATGGTGCCAACAGCGACCTGTGGTGCTGTATAAGGCCAAGCGATCCTATACAATTAAATGGGGGAGGGGAGGAGGGTAGAGAATCCAATTAAATGGAGAAAGCTGATTTCAATCAGTTGTAAGCCATGCAGCTGAGTTGTTTTCCCAGTAATATGTTCCTTTCAGTTTAGCCAGGCTCTGGAATTAGCGTACCCTAAGCCAGTGTTTTTCTCAAGGTTGGCAACTTAAGTTGTATGGACTTCATCTCCCAGAATTCCCTAACCAACATATGCTCCTGCTAGTCTCTGTCCATCCAGGAAGTTTCAGAACTATTACAACCCCTGGAATTCTCCAGTTAGGAGGAAAAGATAACGACTGGCAGACGCTTCCATGAACACAACTGGCAGTCAAGAGGCATGACGAAAATTCTTTAATTTCACAAAATATAGGGAGATTTTAACCATAGTTTCAGTTGGAAAAATGTGACAATCCTACACTAGGCCAAATCCAAAAAAGCCAGGGAATTTCTAGAAGCTCTGACAAATCAGCCATCAATAGACACATAGACATTAACAGTATCTATAGACTATGCAAAGGAGGCAATCAATCAGTCCAAAAGAGAAAAAGGCTCCAGCGCTTCCCCACCAGTAATCAGGACTCAGATCAGCACAGATTAATTCCAAGGTCAAACTGAGACCAACAATCAAGTAAAGCAATACCCCAATCAAGAAACTGCCAAAGAGCCATTAGTTAACAGCCCAACCAAAGAATCTCTAAGACTGCCTCCACCCACACAGACAGGCAAGACACCAGAATATAAACAGACAGCAAACAGCACTTCTTACTAGCACTGATGATGTTACATACTTAGGGTAATGAAACGTCTGCAAGAAAACAAGCAAGCTCAGAGAGCACCATGGACCCCTCAAAGGGAACATTCTTCAGGGCAATGGTTTCATCAACAATATTGCTATTTAGCTATGCTGGGGCTACAAAAGCTCCCAGAGTTATCTGGAAATTATCTCAGGCCAGTACTTCTCAAGGTGATAACTTTAAAATGTGTGGATTTCAATTAGCAAATTCCCCAGCCAGCAAGCTGACTGAGGAATTCTGGGACTTGAAGGCCACACAACTTAAAAATTGCCAGTGTTGAGAAACTCTGGCTTAAGATATGCTAATTCCAGCCTGAATAAACTGAAAAGAATAGAATTGACCAGCCTAGGGCCACTTGCGCACATTGGGCATCTAGATGCACAGGGGAAGTTCACAAGCCTGGACTGAAGGGTGATAGAGCTCTTCTCTTGATCTATCCCAGCAGGCAGTATTTAAGCCAGGTCTGCCTATGATTCATGGAGCAGTAAAACCTAGAAGTTACTGTTAGCTTGATTCTCCATAAACCTGTCAAATCCTTTTGTAAAGCACCCACACTGGCTGCTATGACCACACCTGTTCACAGCAACTTCCACAGATTTCTTAAAACCGGTGAAGAAATTTCCTTCTGTTGACCTTGAGCTGCACTGCAAAATAGCAAAGTTTTTTTTACAGAAATTGAAGACTACAAAACAGAATATCCAGGGATCTGATTTGCTGGCCAGTTGGGTAAATCCTTGTCAGTTTACTTGGGATTACTTCCATTGTTAGGCAGAACGGGCCTTTCAGGGGGCAACTTAGCTGAGAAAGTCCATTGTTTAAAGGAGTTGGGGTGTTGATGTAATCGGTCTGATTGAGGATGGAAGACTAGCATTTGACTCTGTTGCAATTTCCTTGTAAAGGCTGCCCTTGGGCCAATCTGGTTTTGATAGGATTGGGGCCAGGCAAAGGAAGGAACTTAGTTTGACTCTGATTCCATCTAAAAGACAGAGGAAAAAGGTGCAATGTCTGTTTTGTTTGTTAAGTTTATTTTCTCTACTACAGTATTTCCCCTTTGTAAGAAGCCCAACTGTTATAGTGTTTCTTGGAAAGATGCTGTTCCAGCTTTCAAATCATTTTGGCAGCTCTTTTCTGCGCTTTCTGTAGCTCTCTAATATTCTTTTTAAGGTGTGAGCGGAACTATACACAATATTCCAAAGATAGTCTTGCAATTATATAAGGACATTGTTCTGTTACTCTTTATGATGACCCCAAATATGGAATAGACTTTTTTATTGAACCTGCACCCTTAATTATCTTTGTGTTAAGTCCCATGCCTGGTCAGTCATTTGCTCATTAATGTACAGGGAGAATTTGAGCTTTTTTTTTTAGAAAAAATGTATCATTTTACACTGAACTGCAATTGTATTTGTCATTGTGAACTGTGTTCATCATTTTGAAACCTATTTGCTCAATATTAATCTTCCCAATCTTTGTTTGATTTTACCATCTTGTTTGGCATCAACAATTTACTTCATAACTCACTTCTTCTAAGTCCAGGATCATTGTGCAAAACCAACTTTTGTGGTTATTTTATGGCTGTGTAGTTACCCTTCCACTACCTCACCTCACCATGCCTGCAGGTCGCTGTAAAATCTCTTTGGCAGGTCATTGTATAACCTCTAGTTAGGTAGTCATTCTTAAATGTAAGGTAAGATGTAGGATCGGTCCCCCATGGAACATAATTAGCTATGTTCTACAATCTACAGGATGTCATACCCTAGATACAATGATTTTTTAGGGTGTTTTATTTTTAAATACATTGTTTCCCTTCAGGAACAATTCTTTGATTTTATTATCTCTCCAGGGACCATTGTTGTACAAGCTTTTTCTAAATGCCAGGAGGGTGCTGAATAAAGATTGAAATGTTTTTAGGTTCCATCTTCAAAATATGTTTTCTACCAGAGAATCTGTGGGACTTTGCATGGCCTGGTCTCTTATTTTACCTGAATTGTGGGTGGAATCTTTGTACTTTTGCAGACCCACCCATTTTGCTAAAAATGGAGATTTAGGAAAAGAGGGCAGAGCTTTCCTCTTTTTTTAACCTTTCACAAATAAGAAACTGAGCTTGCTTATTCAACTTAGGTTATCAGCATTTGAATGTACCACTTCTGTTTGATATAAGAAAGTTGACTTTCTGGTATTAACATGAACCTCTCTACAGAAAGGAGAAACTGGAGGCCACAGCACACTTGATTTATAAAGCATTTTTATAAAGCTGCTTTATAAATCATTTGTGTTTTGAAGAGCCAATTGGAGCAACAGCTCTCTCTCTCCCTCCCTCCCTCCCTCCCTCTCCCCCTCCCCCTCCCCCCTCCTAGAACCTCGCTAGATTCTTCTGAATCTCAGAATTCACAGTTTGGATTTGATGGGCAATACTTTCTTGGGAGAAAATTTTGTGGTAGCTAATGATTTATTTTTTAACACATTTATTATATTATTAATCAGTCCAATACTGTTGTAAGCCACCTAGAGTCACTGTGAGCGAATACATGGCCAAATAAATTTTCTAAATAAATAAATACTGTACAGTAATTGAAGTTCTTTGGGCAATTACAGTGTAGCAAATACTATTGTCTCTTTAAAAATAATCCACCCACCATTCAAAAGAAGAAAAACAATGTGCTTTAGTGAAGAAGGAACAGAAATAAGCCATTTTGTTTGCCCATATTTTTATTTATCTTCTTGTTACCTCCCAAAGTCAGATGTGCTTTTAAGAGTTTACATTTAAAAAAAGTGAAAAGGAAATAAGGCTTCTCTGGGAACTAAGTGGATGTCATTCAGAAGTATGAGATGGGAGATAGGATTCTTGACTTCTATATCTTTAAGGGAAAGGAAGGCAAATTAGAATAGAAAAATCTTTATATTCATTTATGCATTTATTTGCTCACTTAGATTGATAGGCTGCACTAGTAAGAAGACTCTGATAGTGTTAATAATTTAAATTTCTTTCCCTTGTATTAGGAGATCTGAAGGAGAAAAGTTGACAGCTAAGCTTTCAGGAAGTCTTCCGAAATGGAAAGCTGCCATTTCAACACAATAGGAAAGGAAATTTTCCAGGAAAATAACACAAGTAATCTACGATTTGTGGATGTTCACTAACTTCTCTATAGTGGACAACACATTTAGGTAAACCTCACTTACTGTAACTAGTAGCTAACATCAAGGAAGCAAATTCTATGATTCTTGAAAGACAGAAAAGGCTAAAAACCTATATAATAAGAGAAAAACCTGAAGGAATTTTAAATAATCCATTGCAATCAACCTAATTTTTGTGTGTTTCTCCATCACTTTTTGTCATGAATAAAAAAATACTACTCCAAAGGATGAAGCCACATCATTTGAGTTTAGATCAGTATCACTCTTTCCTCTTATACACTGGAATGGGCATTTCCATTTGGTCCTAACACTCATCTGTGTGGGAATTGTCTCAGTATTTTAGTATTGTGAATATCAACTAATGCACCTGAACATGACTTCATGATGATATTAAGTCTCATATTTCTGGGTAACCTGTTGCATACATATTGTTTGGGACATCTCCGACCAGGCCAGTGTAATGGGAACATAGTTACTATAGTCAGTGCTTTTTTTCTAAAAAAAACCCTCACACGTCATACAACCCACCTTGCCTACCCTACAAGATTCCATCCAAAAAAGGTGCCGGAACTGTTCTGGGCGTTCTATGAGAAAAAAAGCCCTGACTATAGCAACCGGAATGTGAAAAAAACCATCCCATTTTATATTGACAGAAAATAGACTATAGGCAAGAATGTAGCTGAAAGGTTACAAGTATAATTCTTTTGGGCCGTTGTTGTCCTGATATCCATATAATACCTGACTTGGTCATTACATTTCCATCTTAAACTAAAGAAAAAGTCGATGACAGAACTTGGCATAGACTATAAGAAATAAAATCATTTCTGCAATAATCTGTCCAAGGGCTAGATTTTCAAATGATGATTAGAAATCAACTCCATTTTCACAATGGCTACTATCATGGTTGGGTGAGTGATTGGTCCTTTTGCTACCAAGTAAAGAAGGTTGGAATATACACCCATACATTTACATGATGAAAATCTTAGGTCAGCTGAACCAGTGTCAGAAGTAGCTATAGCGTTCATTGTTATATATAATATTCTCTTCCTTCAATCTGTTGGACTAGGACTGGAGAGCCCTTCCTTAATTGTGGAAAACTCACTGGGTGATTGTGGAGAAGAGGAAGAGGAAACTTTATATGTACTACCTTAAGCTCCTGAATAAAAGGTGGGATATTAAAACTAAACAACAACAAAAGTATCTTCTAAGGCTTGTGCTTCACTGGACGAACAGAGATATCTTCAAATTCCACAAAACATTTGATCATTGCTTGGCACTGAGAATTTTCTGAAATCTAATTACCATACTAAGATTTTCAGGGTTGATAGAAAACACTGAATTTTTAAAAATGATATATTTATATCCTGCTTTTTTTCCACTATGGAACTTAAGGCTATGCATAAAATGTCCCAAAGCAGCTCACCAAAGTATTAACCAAACCTAGATGTGATTAGTTGTATCATCACTCAAGGAGTTTTTTCATTTAGTGTTAACTTCAGAATTCGGAATAGAAATAAGTAATATTTGGTTTCCTATATTTGATCATTAAAAAAAAAAGTTAAAATATAAAGCATTTTAAAACATTAAAAATATAAAACATATTAAAATGTTATATAAAATACATTAAAATATGTTAAAATATAAAGCATTTTAAAACATTAAAAATATAAAACATATTAAAATGTTATATAAAATACATTAAAATATGTTAAAATATAAAATATATTAAAACTGACAAATATCTATAAGGAACTGTGCTTTAATGGTAGTTGAAAGCTAGGGCTTTCCTGCTCTTTTGAAGCTTTGGGTCATAATTCTGACACTATCTCCAAACATGCTGAATTACAGTTCAGTCAGAATGGCCTAAGATAGCAGACTGGCAAGGCTGTACTACTCATTCCTAGTAGATGTGAAGATCATATGTATTGAAACCTTATGAGGGCTTCTAATAGGAATAAATGCTTATAGGAATAAAGGGTAAATGTCAAACGAGAGACTTTTCTTTTTTATTAAAAAAATTTATTTTCCATTTATTCATACAAAATACAATTAAATTCCTAACTATTGGTACCGCCTGCCCATTCCCCCCAGGCTGCGTCCACCCTCTCTAATCCTTCCCTACTTCCCTCCTCTTTCTCTCCTCCCCTCCTACTCTCTTCCCCTCCCCTTCTCCTCTAACCATCCTACTTCTTCCCTACTCCTTCCTCCCTTCTCATCCCTCTCACACACATGAACACAGCATAGGGGAAATGCCCAAGCGTTTACCATGACTATATTATCATTACCCACCCACTCACCCACCCACCCACCCTCAACCCTCCCCCTCTCGCTTCCCAGAGATAATTTTTGGGCAAACCAGAGACTTTTCATTGGTTTGTTTTTATATTCAAGTTAACAGTAGATAGGAAAAAGATTTAGTGCAGCTTCCTTTTTGTGTATGCTTAAGTAACAACCTTAAATCCATAGATAATTTACACGTTCCAGACATGCCTCGGATGATCATAGCTCCTACATCGAGACTTGAATTAACTTCAGATTCAACTTAACATTCCTGAAATGGAGACTATTCTAACTTCTTGTGTTTTTTATGGCAGGCAGTATGATTCCAGTGGCTGAATTCAAGCATTTCACAGACCAGCAGCCTGCTTTCAAAGTACTCAAGCCTTGGTGGGATGTGCTAGCTGAGTACCTCACCATAGTCATGCTGATGATAGGCGTTTTCGGTTGCACTCTGCAAGTGAGTGAGTATGGAAGCAGACTGCACAATTCCAGAACAAGATCATGGAGTCACTAATTGAAATTGCAGAAAGGGATACTTATCACTGAAAGGGCTTTGGAAATTGATTACATGCAGTAGTAGGAAGGGTTTATGATTTGAACCTGGGAAAGGGTAGGTTTTTTTTCCAGCCTAGGGAGATTAGAAATCATATAGAAAGATTGTTGGGCAAACTTTTCTTCCCCAGTGACTTCCTATATTGCAACAGGATCATGCATATACATAAACACTCCCATGAATTATTCACATATAACGTATCAGTCAAACATACCTAATGCCTCTCCCTTCCCCCCCTCACAATCTTGATTGAAACAAACAAATGGCTTATAGAGCAAATGAATCCAAAGTTCTCAAACGTCAAAAATCAAAACAGCCAGGCTCAAATTGTGATATTTTGGGCACATTATGAAAGGACTTAACTCTCTTTGAGAACTGTATACAGTAATGGTGAGAAAGGCGAAAGAAAAGAGAAAAAGAACAACTGACAATAACAGGAATGGACTCAGTTACAGTAGCAGAGATGGTGTAAGTTGGATATACTGAACTAATTCAGTACCATAGAAAACATGTGACAGGTGGTATAGTAAAAAGACATTTAGAAAAATAGTATCATATATTGGGTGATGCAACAAAAACAATGAATGGACTTTTGTATCCCTCTATCATATCTACTCAACTTGCATAGTTGACACTCTACTCCGAAGTCCATTGGAAAGAAGCCCCATAAAGGATTAAGGGGCCTAGTAATATGTTTCTAGAATCCACCAAACCACAGTTATTAAAAACACTGCTGGCATAAAATAACAAATGCTGGCCAAAGAGTTATGGATGCTCATTTGCTGCACAGGGAGTTCCAGTCTCAGATTACTACAGGATTCATCCCATCCCAGTATGTAAAAAAATAGAAAATCTGATAATACATTTTAGGCCTGTTTGGGCTACTCATCCAGAAGAATAGAATAATTACTGTGACAGTGTTTCAGAACAAATAACATTTGGGGAAATGCCCATCACTAAAGATCTAGACGAGCTTATTCTTTGTTATGCTACTTTTCTATGTGTAGGATTTTTAAAAAATATATTAAAAGGAAATTGTAGCTCTTGCACCTTGAAATGGCCAACTAAGATCAACTCTTTTGGGAGTCTATATATTATGTGATATAAACTGCTGTACTATATGGACTCTGATATATCATGTTTCTTATTTTTCTTTTCCTCGCTTATATGTTGTGGCAGGTGATACATGACAAGATTATTTGCCTTCCCAATCATGTTCCCAGCGGTACAGCTCTTACTGATTTAACTTGTGAAGATTTCACCAAGAAGACAGTCAATAACTCTGAACCAATCAAGTCTTCTGTCCACCAGAAAATGAGTGGATTACAGAACAACCTAGACCTCCAACAGTACAGCTATATCAATCAGATGTGTTATGAGACAGCCCTTCACTGGTATGCTAAGTACTTTCCTTATCTTGTTATTATCCATACACTCATGTTCATGGTGTGTGCCTCTTTCTGGTTCAAATTTCCTGGTACCAGTTCCAAGATTGAACATTTCATCTCCATTATGAGCAAATGCTTTGATTCACCTTGGACTACTCGAACCATCTCAGAAGTTTCTGAAGAGGAGAATACAAGCTCAGAAAAGGTGAATCAGAACAAGAAAAGTAATGTTCCCAGTGAACTGATTGAACTTTCTCCTACAGGAGGCTCTGTTACAAGAAAGAAAGTTGCAGAGTCCCCTTCCAGTAGCATGTTGGGCAAAAAGGAAGGCGAGGAAGCCAAGGCTTTGTTTGAAAAGGTGAAAAAGTTCCGACTCCATGTTGAAAAAGGAGACATCCTTTACACAATGTACATCCGCCAAACTGTTCTCAAAGTTTGCAAATTTCTAGTTATTATTGTCTACAATGCAGTCCTGGTTCACAATATTAAGTTCATAGTGCCCTGTAGTGTCAAAATGGAGGATATGACAGGCTATGACCATTTCTGTTGCAATCATACCAAAGCCTATCTCTTTGCTAAGCTGGCCATATGCTTCCTCGCTTTTCTTGGTGTATATGGTATGACCTGCCTCTATACTCTTTATTGGCTCTTTCACCGGCCACTTAAAGAGTACTCATTTCGCTTTGCTCGTGAGGATACTGGCATCAAAGATATCCCTGATGTTAAAAATGATTTTGCTTTCATGCTCCATCTCATAGACCAGTATGATTCCCTTTACTCCAAGCGCTTTGCTATATTCCTCTCTGAGGACAGTGAGTTCAAACTTAAACAGCTCAACCTCAATCATGAGTGGACACATGATAAATTGCAGCAGAAACTGCAGACAAACCCTAGTGGGCGCCTAGAACTCCATCTCTTCATGTTGCCTGGGTTGCCTGACACTACTTTTGAGCTGATTGAGTTGGAAGCGCTAAAACTGGAATTGCTCCAAGATGTTACTTTCCCAGCCTCAGTAACTCAACTGATCAATCTCCAAGAGCTAATGCTGATCAATTGTCCTGCTAAGCTGTCCTTTACCTCCCTTAAGTTCTTCCGTGAACAGCTGAAGGTGATGATGGTAAATTTTGATGACATAAAAGATATACCTGTGTGGATTTACAACTTGAGAGGTTTGGAAGAGTTGTACATCTCAGGATTTTTCAACCACGAGATGGGCCGGACAGGAACTCTAGAAACCTTACGTGAGCTAAAGAACCTAAAGATTTTGACACTGCATAGCAACATCTCAAAACTGCCACCTAGTGTGGCTGATCTGGCCACTCACCTGCAAAAACTTAGGATACATAATGATGGGACTAAGTTGGTAGCCCTTAATAATCTCAAGAAGCTCTTCTCGTTGCAGGAGCTAAAATTGATAAATTGTAATCTGGAACGGATCCCCCACGCTATCTTTAGCCTTGTGAACTTGCAAGAGTTGGATTTGAAGAATAATAAGTTGGTTTCCATTGAGGAAGTCATTAGTTTCCAGCATTGCCGAAAGTTGATATGTCTCAAACTTTGGCACAATCAGATTTTCACCATCCCTGAACATATCCGCAAACTCAAGACCTTGGAGCAACTTGACCTCAGCCATAATTACATTGAAGCTCTCCCTTCCCAACTCTTCATGTGCACTAGGCTACATTATTTGGATCTTTCCTACAATAAAATTCAGACCATCCCTTCTGGTTTGGGAGTTTTACAAAGCCTTCAATATTTTGCTGTTTCACACAATTGCTTGGAGACATTGCCCAATGAAATTTACTTCTGCAAGAAACTCAAAGTTCTCAAAGCAGAACACAACAAACTGCGGCGCATCTCAGATCGCATAAGCTGGCTTCCTTTGCTGTCCAGGATGGAGCTGAAAGGGAACCAGCTTGAAGCCTTACCCTTGGAGATTGGTCAGTGCAAATTCCTCAAGCGTAGTGGTCTGATGGTGGAGAGCAATCTTTATGAGACATTGCCTTTAGAAGTAAGGGTAAAAATGGAGGATGAATGACTGATGTGAACAGTAGGCAAGGACTGTAATTTCTCAAGTGTGACTGTGTAGGCATAGAACCAGAACACATAAGAGTCTGGCTCCATTCATTCCAGATGCTCTCCCAGGAACTCCCAACCTTTTTTCTATGTCACCATGGAATGGATGTGATAAGTCTAAGTCTAGCAAATCTGTATCTTGGGATGAAATCAGGAGGGAGCTGACAGCTTTAATCCTAGGAAGAAGTGTGGAAATGGGAAACCTCAGCAAAAAGAAGTTGAAAGTATCATTTCAGTTTTGTTCTATTTTTCTGAAAAACACCAGTTTTCAGAACAGTTAAATAGGATAATTTATAAGAAAAAAGGCTGTACCAGACCAAAGGATCATTGTATTTAAATTTTATGTGTTTATGTGTGTAGATATTTTTGAATTGCTCTGAAGCTTTGCTAGATACTGTTGTTCAAGTGGATTCATTTGTTCACTCCTAGCTTCTTGTTTGGAGAGATTGCCTAATTTTTTCAAAAGTGATTCTGGGTGGTGTTTTGCCTATTTATTGCAATAGATGAGAATTAGTCAGGGACTAGGTATTTTACATAATTATCAAAAAAACCTAGCTCTTTTTATTCTGTTCTTCGTTAGAAGAAGAATCGTGTTCTAAAATGTGGAAGAGCCAAACCACAAAGCATTTGCTTTGATCAATAAGGACTCATCATATGATGTAACATCTAATTTTTCTATGTCAAATTGGCCTAAATTCTATCCAACATTCTGCCAACGTGAACATCTTCGCAGTGCAGGAGGATAACCATATACAGAGTGAAGTACCTTCCATACATAGCAGGTGCTGGGAAATATTGGGGCGATCCCCTAATTTTTTCTCAGTCTATCAGATGACAAAGCTATAGGAGACATACAATGTAACTCTTACATCTCATTAATGAGACTGTCTGCCCTTAGATGATGAATACCCATTCCAGGAGTCTTAAAGGAAGACTCAACTTTCAGTCCTATTAACTTATGCCTACAGAGGGTAAATCATAATTGTCATGCATTCTTAAAGGCTTTTGACAAAGACCTTCAAACAAAGACTTGAACAAGCTGTTGCAGTCTTGATATTAAAAAAAACCAAGAGGTTCTTTTAGTAATTAGTAAGTAATAATCAGCAAGGGAACATGAAGTAGTAATGCAAGGTTTTCAGGAATCTGCCATTGGAAGGTCTTTCTGTTGATTTATTTGAAGAAGGCATTAGATCTCTGCCTTAAGCTCCTGCCCTGATGGTACCTCTGACATGCTGTCTAGGCAGGGCCTTGCTTCTAATCAGAGGAAAGGGCACTCCATTTGAGGTAGCATCAAGCAAATGCTTTGGTGGGAATATTAGATTATGGCTGGGGAGACTTCAAAAGACTCCTACGTGAGGAACAACCCAGTTGTTCTAGATCAGTGGTTCTCAACCTTTTTAATGCCGCGACCCCCAACCGGTCGTAAGTTGAGGACTAAACCGGTCGTAAGTCAAGGACTAAACCGGTCGTAAGTCAAGGACTACCCAACCAGTCGTAAGTCAAGGACTTTCCCTGCCCGGGAGCGCCGCGCATGCGTGGTGTCGCCCCCTGCGCCGGCCGAGGTGTAGCTAGCAAGTGGCAGAGACGGAGCAGGCCGACCACTGGCTGGGCCATCAGCTGGCCCAGCCCAAAGGAGGTAAGGCACCTGCCAGAAAAGGGGAAAAAATGGCAGACAGTCTTGCTTGGCGACCCCCGTGAAATGGTCGATTGATCCCAAATGGGGTCGCGACCCATAGGTTGAGAACCGCTGCTCTAGATCATGGATTTCAGTGTCATTCATCTCCGATGGGATTTTCATTGTTTTGTTATGGTGGCAAAATGCAAGGACAGCATTAAAACATTTTAAAACTCAAAGGCAAAACCAGTGCTAAAACAGTTAAAAGACAATAGTGCCAAAGAAGAAATAAGTACAGCTTTAAAGAGATTTCAAAAATAACTGTAAAAGATCTATGAAGACCCAGTCATTATTGTTTATTTATCTTCATTTAGTATGAATTACCAACATTTACCAGTAGTTTAACTGGCTAATTAATTGATATGCCAATTTATGTAATGGTAAACCACTAGCATTCTATCCATGGTGTATCCGGTTCACCTCCAGTTGAAAGAACAAATGGCTGGTGATAGGAGAGATTTGATATAAAGGTCTAATTCATGATGGACTCTAAACCTAATGTTTGTTTTGTATTTTTGGTCTCTGACACCAGCCCTAAGTACCAACACTATGTATGTATGTATGTATGTATGTATGTATGTATGTATGTATGTATGTATGTATGTATGTATGTTGTTTGCAATTACAACCAGTGTCAAGAGTTTTATGGCTGGTTCTGGCATCTGTTTTACAAATAGGCAATACTTTCCCAAGGAGGCCATTTTATGACAAAACCTATAACATGCTCTTAAAAAACCATGAGCAACCACAGCTCAAATATTTTACACCCAGACTTGTAGCTAGGGGTGGGTGTATAGGGACTAGCTCCCAACTTCTTCTGCTGACCTTAATTTCACTTTGTCCTAAAAAGATGAGATAAATATACTTTACATTTAATTTTAAGGTTTCACATTCTAGATGAGTTTGCCAACCACTTTAAGACATGAAAAGTAGCTGTGGTAGCTGGAATTCTGATCTCCCCTGTAGCCATAAGAGGATTTGAAGGGAGGCAAAGAGGTCAGGAGCCAGACTTGAAGGGAGTGGTCTCACAGGAAATGGGACAGATCTAATTGAAATTATAAGGCTTCCAACAGAAAGCATGTCCTTTCAGGTTGCTTCCTTGATGCACATCAGTGATCCCTACATTGCCTGTACATGATGTCTTGGGATGGGACATGGTGTCTTTGAGGCAGGATGTTAGGAGAAACACCAACCACTTTTATAATGTAGCCCTTTGGACTGTCTTGGTTGTATCTTAGCTGAATACAGTGGGGGCATCTGGACAAGAGGATTGATATGGAAATCATAATTGGGCCATCCATAAACTATGATGAAGGAGGCTGGGTGGAACCCCAAAACTGTAACCGTGACATCACTTTGTCTTTCAGGGGAAAAGTAGAATGCACCACTATTGCACAGGCAACTAGATCTTTTCTATCACCTCCAAATGGAAACAGAGATGCCCCCAAATGGCAGTAGCAAAACACTTTCTTATCACAGTAGGAACGTTGCATAGAGCAGATGATGAAAATCACCAGGAGCCAAACTTGATTCAAAAGCATTTTTACTTACCATGCATAAGAAAGACTTCAAGAATCGGATCTCATTATAGACTGGAAACACCATAAAAGGATTGCATATGCTTTTATCTTCTATCAGAGTCTCTTAATGCAATTTTTCACCTTCTAAATGGTCTCTAATGTTTCATCATTACTAATTAAGTTTTCTGTTACATCTTGTTGCCACCTAGTGGTTGTTAATTAAGGAATGCGTGGGGGGGGGACTAATTTTCCTCCTTTATCTAAGATAAAATGGGATGGTTCAGAATATCTTAGCCATGATTTTTTTTTAAAGGTAAGGCAGATAACTAATTACTTAGACCTCACTGGAAATTATGCACAGATGAAGTTTGATTCTGCATGTTACCAATTTATTGTGAGATATCTTTAGGAAAGAAATGCAGAATATTATATCTTGAAAACCCAGTCAAGAAACAGACTGCCTTTGTATGAGAAGTCAACCTTCTTTGAAATTTTTTTATAGTTTTTTAAGGACAAGCAACCTCATTTATTGGTATGTGCCAGGTGCATAGGGCTGTGTGGTTGAAGTGATTGATCTGTTCTTGTATTGCACAGAGTAAAACTGCAACCTTAATTAAATGTATGCTAAGCAAATCACAAAACGAGGTTTTCATTTAATATGGCTGCAGGTCTGAAAAAATAGACAGATGTGGTGATGTGAACCCTCAGGGGTGAGGGCTAGAAAAGTTGAAAAGAAAATCCAAGAAGTGAATAGCATGCCATTTCCGTATTGCTGTATAAAGTTCCATATATAAGTCCCTGAAGTCATTGAGCTTTATTGTAAGAAATCTTTATCTTTTAAGATGCTGTCAGTCAGCATATCGGGGCAGAACTTTGGAACAGAAGTTGAAGGCTCACTCAGCAGAATGAACAGGAGGTCTGCTGAAGCTTTTAGGCTGTTTTACTCTATTATGAAAGAAGAGAAATGTGCATATTTCCATGAACAAAATTTCCCTCCTCTTACTTAAGGCTATTAAAATGGAGTCTAAAATATCTCAGATAAATTCATTACACTGCATTTAAGCATGCTGTTCATTTGAGTGCTGGTGGAAGAATAAGATGGATTGTGATTAATGGTATCCTAGATGGAGATTCTATCTAGTCACTCATTTTCAATTGAGCCTAATTGAGAGAGGAGAGGCTCTTTGCTGCCATCTAGTGAACATCAGGAGTCCTATCAGGACAACCCTAACTGAAACCCAACCTGTTTTCCTGGGAGTATACTACAGGTATCATCACAGCCACGCAATGTTAGGAATGGACACATCTGTTGTGAGGAATTGCATAATTGCTAAACAAGGACGTTTATAAATAAAAAAAGTTTTGTATGTGTAACTTTTTGTGCTTCCCTCCCCCCTCCCAACTTTTTTTTTTTACCTTTGAAGCCAAACTTACTGAGTCCTAGTATAAAATTATTTAGAACAGGCGTATGCAGTAGGCCTGCAGAAAGCCTAAAAAATGTAAAGTACATTTATCTCAGCTTTTGAGGACAAAGTGAAATTAAAGTCAGCAAAAAAAAAAAATTGGGAGCTAGTCCCTATACACCCACCCCTAGCTACAAGCCTGGGAGTAAAATATTTGAGCTGTAGTTGCTCATGGTTTTTTAAGAGCATGTTATAGGTTTTGTCCTAAAATGGCCTCCTTGGGAAGGTGTTGCCTATTTGCAAAACAGATGCCAGAACCAGCCATAAAACATCCACTAAGAGACAAGGTGATGAAATGGTTCCCCAAATCTTTATTCCTTCTAATGAGTTCTATTATCCCAATTAATTTTTGAGTGATTGTTTTTCCTAATTAGTTGGAAAAATTTCAAAACAAAAGTGCAGGGCTCTAACCACGCATCACTTTAAAATTGGCAAGGAGGCAAGTCCTTTATAAACAGCCTTCTGTGCTGCACAACTCAGAGTGGAGAATGTGCAAGCAGATCAAGATGGTTGTGGGTACTGCCCTTTCTTTATGGACAGCCATCTAGTTTTTCCCGACAGGTTAACAGGAGAAGTGAACGAAAGATACAGAGGAAAAAGCGTTAGTTACAACCAAGAATACTTTGGGGGGTGCTTCCTTCAAAAGCTAAGTACAATTCCAGTAACTTTCTACCTAAGATTCTCATGAGAATCAAATTATGAAAAAGCCATCTTCTATGCTGCCTTACGTTTCTGGTGATTAAGGCATCCAGAGAAGGGGACACCATAGAGTCTCCCCCCACACACACCCCTATCATACTCTTATCTCTTTTACTGCCATACAGGTAGTCCTCTACTTACAACTGTTCATTTAGTGACCAATTCAAAGTTACAACAGCACTGAAAAAGTGACTTATGACCATTTTTCACACTTATGACTGTTGCAGCATCCTCATGGTCACTTGATTTACATTCAGATGCTTGACAACTGTCTCACATTTATGACGGTTTCAATGTCTCAGAGTTATGTGATCCTCTTTTGCAACTTTCTGACAAGCAAAGTCAATGGGGAAACCAGGTTCATTTAACAACCGTGCTACTGATTTAACAACTGCAGTCATTCGCTTAACAAATGTGGCAAAAAAAGTCATAAAATGGGGCAAAACTCACTTAACAAATTTCTCACTTAACAACATAAATTTTGGGCTCAATTGTGGTCGTATATTGAGGACTACCTGTACTCAACGTTAGTCCATTTTTTCCCCCTTTGGCAATTGTCCTTATCTGCTGGGTCCCACTTTAATCTGCATTGTTAAAAACAAGTTTTCTTCGGCATGGTGAGGGACTGAAGTTTAAAAGTTTGGCTGGAAGATGCTGTCAGATATCCCACTTTTTTCTGCCTCCTGGTTTTGCCTCTGTAATTTTAATAGTGAGATACCAGTATTAAACTGTCCATAATCAGCTGGTCTTATTTAATATTGTTGGAAGAATGCATATTTTTTTTAAAAAATTCTCTTAATAGTTCTATGATTAATATGTTTAGTGATTTTTGCAAGTTTTTCTGTTCCTCCTCCTTCATGCTTTGCTCTTTGCATTTCAAGAGAGGGCAATCATGCTGAAAGCCTAATGAGTCCTCCTGGCTAGTTCACAGTAGCTTTGTTCTCCCCCCTTCCAGTCCTTTGCTCCTGCATTCAGCTGCCATGGCGATGACAAAAAGCCTCTTGTGCTGAGGGGCTGCCTCTGAGAAATCGTAGGCAATCACAGATAAAGGAGAGAAGATTTGGGAACGGGTACCCACCTGGATAGAAGAACAGATTGCCTGCCGAAAGGATTGGCTTCCTGCAGGTGAGGAGCTGATGCTGGACTGAGGAAGGGAAAGAATAAGAGAGGGAAGGCAGGTCCGCGAGGCTTGTGGTCAGTGGTGGGTAATGTGGGCAAGCGGTAAGGTGGGAGGTATTGTTTTGCCACATGGCACACCGAGCTGTAAACTATGGTTTACAAATCACATCAATCAGGCTATATGACACTCTAAGACAAAGACCAACTCAGCTAATGAATTACATGCTTTGTCTAATACTTAATAGACTAGCAGCTACCATTAGTCTTAAGACTGTTTAGAAAACATACAATAATAAAATGATCCAAACTATAAGAAACATCCCACCTGAGTTAATACTATAAGCTGTTTGTCCCCCCCCCCCAAGGCTTACTTGAAAAAAAAAAAGGCAAACAAGGGTCATCAGCTCAGGAACTGATACCTTTTAGACATGCAATAGTATTTTTATTGTATTTGTTTATTAATTAATATTTTACATTCAGTAAAAGACAAGCATTTGAAAGATATTTGATCTTTTGCTTCTTTGATAATATAGGTTGAATATTATACTACAGGTAGTACTCGATTTACAGTTGGCCATTTAGCAGCCATTCAGAGTTACAGTGGCCTCAGCATGCTTTACAGCCCATAAAGTACTTCTGGTTGTTGCATAATCTCATGCCGCTCCCCCTCCCCCACGGTAACGGCAGCATTTCAGGTGCTTGGCAACCAGTTCACATTTATGACTGTTTGCAATGTCCTGCAGCCCTGTGACTGTGATTTGTAATGTTTTTTGTCGGTTTCCAATGTTTTTTGCCAGTTTCCAGCGGAAAAAAAACCATTCATTTAGGAGAATGGGTTCGCACTTATGACCCTATGATTTGTTCAATGATTTGTGATTCAGAGCTATGACCACACGGTTCGCTTAATGACTGCCGTAAAATTAAGTCCGAACATGTGGATGCCTCAATTTACAACTGTCCTGATTTATGACCAAAATTCTGGTCCCAATTGTGGTCATAAGTGAAGGATTACCTATACTTCTCTCTACAGCAGATGGGACAATGTATTTTTTTTTTTTTGGTAGCCTAATTTGCATTTCTACTAAACATTATTTGTTCAACCATTTTTCAGCAAATAAACCACATATAGTTTTTCCTCAGAGCAGATAACAGTATTTTATAATTTTTGTTTCTGTTATAAGATCTTTGTCTTCCGAGCTCTCAAATTGAAGTTAAGACAACTTAACTTAAAGCTCTAAAATTTTCGCTTGTTTTAGTGCAACAGTCAAATGAATTACTCAATTCCTATTAATTATTCCTGTTTTTTTCTAGTGATGTTTGCCCTGTCAGAAGTCACTTTCTTCAATGACAGCCTTGCCCAGTTCCAGTCTTTGAAGCCTTGGTGGGATGTCCTAATGGACTATTTGGTATTAGCAATGCTGATGATTTCTGTTCTCTCAGGAACGCTACTAATCTCTGTTGATAACATGACTTGTCTTCCTCTGAATCATAAGCTAAATGAAACTTCAGCAGTTGTACCCAAGACTCAAGCTATGGATCAAACCATCAGTGAAGAGCTTCCTGTGGCAAACAGTCATCGCTCCATCAATCTGGACTACCAACAGTATCTATACATCAGCTATGTCTGTTATCAGAAAGTTCTGCCCTGGTTCTTGAAGTATTTCCCTTACTTTGCACTTGTCAATTCACTGTTCTTAATGGCAAGCAACAACTTCTGGTTCCGATATCCTAAGACTTCATCAAAGATTGAACACTTCTTGTCCATTCTCACGAAATGTTTTGAGTCACCTTGGACCACCAAGGCTCTCTCTGAAATAGGTTGCCAGCACTTCCTAGGTGCGCGCACAAATACTGTGAATATGCAGTATCTAGGACAACTCAAGTCTCCTTCTTCTCCCATCCTGGATGCAAAGGATCGGGAACTTGGCCAGGCCCTTTTTGAGAAGATCCGTAGATTCAGAGCACACACTGAAGGTGGTAGGATGATTTATAGAATCTATTTGGGACAAACCTTTCTCAAAATTGCAAAGGTTCTAACTGTGCTAGGTTATACCTTCAACTGTATAGGATCCATCTCCTTCAAGCATGTTTGCCTGGCAGACATACAAAACCTCATTGGCTATTCTACATTCATCTGTACCCATAGCATGGCTTTCATTCTACAGAAATTGATAGCTACTTATATTTTTTTAGTATTCCTGCATGGAGTTGTGGGGGTTTATTCACTCCTATGGCTTTTGTGGCAACCACTGCAGAAATATTCTTTTAAGCAAGCGCATGAAGACAGTCGGGTCTTTGATATCCCAGATGGACAGAATGATTTTGCTTTTTTGCTACACATGGCTGACCAGTGTAATCAACTCTATTCGTGGCGGCTTGCTAATTTCTTATCAGCCATGCATAAAAACGACATGCTGGATGTAGTCTCCAGTGGTAAATTGAGTACTAAAAAAAAGGTTAGCTGCCATTATCCTTCCCTGTCATCAAAATAAAAACATATAAGTAAATAAGCATTCGAACAAATCCTTAATAAAGTATCTTATTGATTACAAAGGCCAAAACCTGAGAGTTTCTTTTTCAGGTGCCATAAAAACACAAGTGTGATCCACTTACCCAAAAGAAGAAAATATTAAACAATTGTAAATAAAAAACTAAGAAATCCTCTTTGAAAATAGCCCAGATTAATTTAGGGCTAATATAAAAATCTTATGGGCTGCCTGTACCTTCTTTTTTTTTTTCTATCTCAGAGAGGAATTTCTCCTTGCTAAAAATTATGCCTTACGAGAAGAGAAAGTTATATTGGAAGCAAGTCATATAATAATAAGCCTGGAATGAAACATTTATCCCAAGGGAAAATAAGTTTAGGAATTGATAAATGGATTGGAAGTAAATACTAGGTCATAAATTGACTGCAGTGGGCTTTGGGGATAAAATAAAAGACCAGGTCTGACTGTTGTTAACTTATTGCTAAGTCCCGGGTTTAAAAAACAAGAAATCTGTGCTTATTTTATAAACACAAAAGGGAGTATACTCTATAAATTGAAAACAGAGGAAATGGAAGAGGAGAAAGTAGAAGAATGCGAATCCTGCTCCTCCATAGGCAGTAAGTGAGCAGAAACACACTGAACAAAATTCAGGCTATATCCAGAGCACGCTTCATTGCAACTATTACTGTTGTGGAAACTGGATAGACTATAACAAAAGGGCCAAATTCTCTAACTAAAAAACCAATATTGAAAAAGCATTTTTTTTCCTTTTCTTTTAAGCGTTATAGATTTATCGGTGAAATGAAGAACAAGTGATAAATATGTATGTCAGAGGAATTTAAATGAATAACTCTTTCTATAGGAGCTGGTTTCATTTTTAATTACTAACACAATTGTTATGAGAGATTATGGGAAGTGGGAAAGTCATGGAAGGAACATTGGACCTAAAGCATCAAGAGATAAGGAAGAATTTGGTAATAAACAGAAGCTCAGGTCAGGCTGCAAAAAGCTTAGGAGGAAGATATTCAGATGGTTCAAAGAGACACTGTCTTAATCAGCCACTAATGCAAGAAGACAGGAAATTTGCTGCCATTTCCAAGTTTCTCCAATTTACCTCCAATCCTAACATTAAACACACTTTATAGAAGTCTGTGTAATTCTTGCTTCCTTGTCTGCGCCTTGCTGGGAAAGGCTACAATATCACCTCCTGAAAAGATTCTAATAAAGGTACATGTGTTTTTGTTTTACACTGAAAAGAGAGGAAGCATGCATAAAGTAGACGGGAAATTTAAATACCCGGACATTTATTGAGAGATAATTAATATATGCCAAAATAGGAAATTTGTGTTACTGACAATATTCTTCTTTGGAGGCAGAGGAAAAAGGATCAGACCTTGGCCTGATCCTAAGTAATAAGAAAAGTTTTGTTGAAGAAGTAAAAGTAGCAAGAAATTCAGGGAAGGATAATCATAAAATTGCAAGAATTCTTAATGCTAAGGAAAACAAAAGCTGAGTTTAGTCAAGTCATATCCTGGACTTTAAAAAGGCTGATTTTAATACTGTTGACCAATGAAGGGATGTCATGGCAGGGAAAAGGCTAATAGAAAAAGGTGCTCAAAACAAATGCAATGAATTTTTAAAAATGAGATTCACTCTATTCCAGGGGTGTCAAACTGCCGGCCCACGGGCTGGTTTCATCATACTGAAGCTGCGCCCACCCCATTTCCAGCAATGGCAAAACTGGTCCGATACGTTGCGCGATGTCACATGACGTCTCGAGTTTGACCCCCCTGCTCTATTCAAAAGACAAAAAGAAGGGAGGATAATTGCAGAAACTAAGATGACTCCACAAAAAGAAGGTTAGTGCAAACAGAGGAGGGGAAGGCTGCCAGTTCCTAAAAGTAATAGCTCGAAGCTCAACACCCAGAGAAGAGATGGATTCTCCGTTTCCTTCATGTTCCCTGGAGGTATTTGAGCATAACACAAGGAAGCAGCAACCCCAACGCACTGATAAAAAAGTATCTTGTCAGTCAAAAGGGAAGAAAACGAAGAGGATCATACACATTTATTCAATTAATAAGGTGACCAACTGTCCTCCTTTAGGATGGACAGTTTCCTTTTTTAAGTTCTGTCCTCCCTCGAAAAGTGTCCTCCATGTCCTCCTTTTTGATATTTGAAGACTAATCTGCAGGGCTTTTTTTTTTCTCATAGAATGCTCAGAACAGCGTTCTGGCACCTTTTTTTGATGTTTTTTTTCAACTTTTGCATGAGCTGTGCTACTCCCCCTATTGGCTTTCAAAAGTCAATAGGAATTGCTGCTGAACAGCCAAAACACCTGGCCGGCAAACTTTGCACATGTAAGTTATCTGCAGCGAAGGCGAATTGGCAGGATCTTTGCACCCCTCCCTGCTATCCAACTACACCATCTCCTAGTTAGTCCCAAAGATACCTGGAGGAGACTGGAGTGGCAACGCCATGGTAACTTTCTCTTGATCTTCGGCCCTGCTAGGGCAATAATGGCTGCAGGCGTAGGAGGCAGAGGCAGTGGGGCTGCTACGGGCGGGGGTGTGAGGAGCAGCGGTGGCCGGCTGCCCCCGGTACTGTGGAAGCCACGGGGCCTGCTCTACACGGGGCTGTGCAGGGTGGGCGGTGGTGCTGGCGGGGCAACTGCAGGCGGGTGTGTTGACGGCGGGCTGCCCCCCGGGGCTGGAGCCAGCACAGCTGGTGCTTTGGGAGCCGTGGGGCCTGCTCTACACGTCGGGGCTGCAGTGCTGGAGGGGCGGCTGTGGGTGGGGGCGCGGCATGTAAGCATAATTACAATATAAAATGTTATTGTTACAAATGTTTTTATTATGCATTTATCATATTATAGTGTATTCTGTACTATTGTTGCAATGAATAAAATGTTTCTTTTATTTACAATATTTTTTTCTTCAATTTATTTGTGTCCTCCTTTTCATTGTAAAAATGTTGGTCACCTTACAATTAAAAAAAGTTCCCGCAAAGCTGCAAGTTTTTTTTGCTATTTCCCTTTGGCTACTTAGGCTCAAGGGATGGTTGCACAATGCTGGTTGAGGTTGCCATGGATGTTGGAGCTGGGCATGCGGTGGTGGCTCTTACAGGCAGAGCAGCTGGGAGTAATGAAGCCATTGGCTCAGTAGAGAAGGAGCCCTGTTGCAAAGTGAGGTGTCCCCCTCACTCCTACCTAACTCAGCCCCAGGCCGTTGCCCTCAACCCTGACCCCCTTTGTGGGGCTTTCCCTCCAATGGAGTCAAAGCCTGGGCAAGGCACTGTCCAGTGGAATCACACTCTGGACAAAGGCTGGGATCTGTTCCTCCTGCCAGCCCCCATTCCAGCAGCTCTTTCCCGTTACAGGTTTAGAAACAGAAATATGGCTCCCTGTCTGGTCTGGGGCTTGCCAGTTTCTATGTATATTCTCTGTTTAATTGTCCCCAAGGTACGTTTTTCAAGAGGCAACTGGATTTTCTTTGTTTTTCCTTGAAGATATTTCACTTCTCATCCAAGAAGCTTCTTCAGTTTTTATAGTTCACTATTTAATTACAAAGATTGATAAAGGAGGATATTCGTAGCTCAGGTTTGAAAATGTATTATAAAGATCATTCAAAGTCAGAAGCCATATGCCAGGAGTAGGAGTAGGAAAGCCCATGGGCAACTTATGGCTTTGGGTCCTACTTTGGCCCCTCTTCTGAATACTTTCTGATGACCTGCTGAAATTTAATGCCAAATTTATGATTTTCAGTTAATATGATTATTTTTGCTGGGTTTGGCCATCTAAAACTTGAAATTATTAAGCATCTTTTAAAAGACATCACACTCCTTGCAGAAAACTTTTGGAATCTCTCTGCTTCCCCAAATGTTCATAGATATTACCAGATCTGCCTCCATAGCCATCAACTCCACTGCTGCAGCTCCAAGGCCCTCAGACTGAAGTGAAAGAAGCATATTTGATGCAGGATGGAGCACACCCTGCTCCCTCACTAGTCCCACCCTCCCTCCCTCATGGATGATTAGTTCTGTCTTAGATAGTCAGATATTCATGCATGTGCTGGTTCCATCCCAGTCATTTTTTGTAGGTATGCTATTAGAGGAGGTGGCAGAAACCGTGGCAGAAATTTCTGTGCAATACTACCAGGCTGGTGGCAACCAGGTTTCTCCTTTGTCTGTGACATCTGCTGTATGCATTTGAAATCCCTGGTTTAAAGAATCCCTTCCAACTTCATGATTCAAAGACACTGAGGCTCGAAATAATTGAGCAGCAGGAACCAAGACTTTGAGATTGGATTGGGACCCTTTATTTCATAATAACTATATTATAGCTGTGTTCAAAATTCTGTGATCCAGAAGCGATTGCTTATTTTCTGACAGTGATTCCGTTTCCAGTTGTGGAACATTCCATTTATTGGATCATAAAATTTTACACATCTGTACCTTATAGTACTAGTATATATTAGCCAGGATTTTAAACCATGATCTGTTGAAAATGCTTATAATCTGATTTGTAAATACAAGAAGCAATAATGGATAGATTTACACTAAAAGTTAATTATTTTGTTAAACTTGTAAATTGAGCCAAGCTTGCTAAGATATATCCAGCATATTATGCATGCTTTTCTTCATTATATCAACACATCAGAAACTTTTCTTTTTTTAAAAAGCAAACTATGATACCTATAGTAGTTAATTTCATGAAACTGAGTGCCTTTCCCATATTGTATTTCACCACTGTACAAGCATGTCTTGGCCGTAGTTTTTTTCTGTTGAGCCTTATAACCCTCTTTACAACTCCCAAGATAGCTTTAAGTCATCCTTAGCTGTTCCATTAGAATCTTTCTCTTTAGAACAATAGCATTCAGCAGTAGTAGCAAGATGTGCGAACCTGTAGTGTTTTGCCACGCATTATGTTGGTAACAATGTGACACAAAAGTAATGGGCAAAATTAGATGCCTCTAACTGGCTATGTCAGATCAATGTGGATGGTCCCCTTCTAATCCCAGGCAATCTCCTTCACCACCGTTCTGTTTTTCCCTATTTGATGCATCAAACTCCCTCCAGAAACATGCAGGACTATTTTCTGTCTTTTTTTTTAATCGCTGGGTCAGACTTTCTGTTCCTGTTTTTTCACACTGAGGAGGGAATTCAAAGGGCAGCAGTGGGAGCTCGAACTATTAGAAGGAATGTCACATTTCTCTTGCTTGTAAAGGTTTGGCATCCAATCACTGCTTGTATTGGCAGTCAAGAGAAATTTGCAGAGTTTTGCAATAGCATCATTGCTCTAGCCTTCTGCTTTGCTACATCCTTGGGGTTGGTTTCAGAGTACGAGAAGCTTAGAGCTCATCTTCTTTGTTCCTTTTGCCTCTCTTTTTCCTAACATTCCTCCCTGTCTGCTTCCCTGTGTTGTTTGTGTGTAATTTAGCATTGTGGTTTCTTCAATTTGCTGTGCTGTACCAACATTCGGTCAATTTCTTGTCAGAAGTGAACATTTCCCCCCAGGATACAGTAAGACGTGTGATTGATATTGCCAGCTTGCCTACTCAATGTGAATACTGTGACTGATGGCATTAGTGGTTGAGTAGTGTAATGGTTAAGGCACCAGGCTAGAAATTGGAAGGCTGTGAATTCTAGTCCCACCTTAGCCATGAAAGCCAGTTAGGTGATCTTGAGCCAGTCACTCTCTCTCAGTCCAGCTCACCTCACAGGTTGTTGTTGTTATTGTTGTTGTGGGAAAATAGAAGAAGGAAGGTATGCAGGATATGTTCTCTACCTTGAGGTATTTGTAAAAATAATAAAGGCAGGAAATAAAATAATAACATAAAATAAATTCTAGTCCCACCTTAGGCTGAAGCCAGCTAGGTCAAAGGTAGGCAACCTTGGCTCAGGAATTCTGGGAGTTGAAGTCCACATGTCATAAAAGAACCAAGGTTGCCTACCTGAGCTAGGTGATTTTAGGCCAGTCACATTTTCAGTCCCAGGAAAAAAACAATGCTAAACCACTTCCAAAAATGTTATCAAGGAAACTGGAGGGACTAATTGCAGTCAGTAAATACTGAGTTGAAGGCACTCCCCTGCCCCCCCAAAAAGTAGTGTCAGGTGCTGAATCTAAATACTGGTCATAATTAGGCAATATTTTTTTAGTCCGCACTCTTTCAATGTGTCCCTTTTCCAGGTTCTTGTAGTCTTATGGCCTTTTCCAGTCTCTTTCTGATTGCTACGGGTTATAAGTTTAGGTCCTAAAATGGGGCAATCCAAATTTCTGCTAAAATTTCATTACAGTAAATCTGTAGCCTTTTTGCTACAGCATAACTGTTTTCATGCACTTCCACCTTAGATCTCTCAAGGCCAGATAGATGATGGTGCTAGCTAGTTCATGAGAAAACATGCACCTTTTTCAGTTCCTGTAAACGGGGCAAGGGTTGGGGAAAATATGTTCATAAAGGTCAGTAGTTCTGGTAGGCTTGAAGCAATTTGCTCCAGGTTTGTCCAACTAAGTAGTCCTTTGTTATTTCAAATAAGATGTTCCTTTCCATCATAGCCATCTAAGGCAGGGCTTTTCAACCAGTGGTACGGGTACCACCTGTGGTACATTGGCACCTGGAAGGTGGTACACGACCACCCTAGAAAAGTGGTAGTGGGGGAGGGGAATGAACTGAACCGGTGGCAGCACCGCACAAGCCTGAGTGAGAGATGGCTGGAGCTGCAGGGCTATCAGGGCTCAGCGGAAGCGCCAGGATCAGTGCCTCTTTCCAGCTGATCGGTGCTTCGGGGCTGTCAGGGCTCAGTGGAAGCACCAGGATCAGCGCCAGACTCCAGCTGGAGCTCGGCGCTGATCCTGACGTTTCTGCTAAGCCCAGAAGAAGCGCCAATCAGCTGGAATGTTGCAGCATCTCCAGAGTCCTGTGATTTACATTCAGATGCTTGGCAATTGATTCATATTTATGACAGTCACAGTGTCCCAGGGTCATGTGAAGTGACCAAACCTGAAACGCCAATCAGCTGGAATGTTTCAGCATCTCCAGGGTCCTGTGATTTACATTCAGATGCTTGGCAACTGATTCATATTTATGACGGTCACAGTGTTCCAGGGTCATGTGAAGTGACCAAACCTGCTGCAACCACCTAGCAGATGGGGGGAATAAAAACCAAACACCCCCCAACCCACCCCCGCTGCCAATCCTCAACAGAAATGCTCACAACAATGAAAACTTTGGACCAGAGGAAGAGCAGGCAGATGTCTTGCTCGGTTGTGGCTTGGGGGGCACTTTTTCAGTGCTATTGTAACTTCTAAGCGTCACTAAGCGAACTGTTGTAAGTCAAGGACTACCTGTACTTTATCACTTTTTTCATTTTTGTTTTTTTTGGTCATCAAGTTTTTGATACCTTGCTAGGCGACTGGTGGTACCCGGATGTTGCCATATCCTAAAAATGGTACAATGGGTGAAAAGGTTGAAAAGCCCTGCTCTAGAGTTCTTCAAGCTGACAAAGGATCAATGGAATTATCCATTATTATTGTTATTTAATAATTGAAGTAGCATTCATTAAATATCACAAATGTTTGGGGGTTGATGAACAATTTGAAACTTCATGAAGAAGTTGAAGAGCTGAAAAGATTGGGGACCCTTGGGTTAGGGCATTGTGCCCTCGAACATCTGCCCCATAGATTCCTCAGCATGCCAAAGCAGATATATGGGGAAAGTGGGAAGCAAGGGGGAAGAAACAACACACACACACACACACACACACACACACACACACACACACACACACACACACACACACACACACACACTGTATTTAACAGTCAGTGGAACAACCACTTATAAACCCTAATGTTGTCTAGAAATTAACCCTTGTTGAGTTATTTTTGAGCACTAAAAGGATCAAGATTTGGGGGATGATTTTCTTGGGCAAAATTGTTCATCTAACCAGCAAAAACGTGAGGTATGTGAGAAACAAATGACACACATAGTGATGCATTTTGGCTTAGCTTTTAAATTTAATTTAAATATATTTATAATTATTCTCTATTTGTGTGTTTAATAACCTTCTCTTGTCATATTAACTTTAAGATGTCCCTGGACATCTGTGTTTTACTATAGTTCACTCATCCACAACAATCTTCATAATTACGAAATCACAGGAGTTGCAAATCCTACTAACTAGTTCATAAGTGAGCCACAACATACAAGTTCATGAGCGAGCCACACTTTGGCTTACTTATGAACTAGCGATAAGAAACCTGAGGCTAAATGGGCGCTTCGATCAACCTCACGGCGGGATCGCTTGGTCGTCTCACTAAATGTCACCATCTGCCAGACACCTGCAAGGAGCCCCGCAAGTGCAGGACGGCGCAGGCAAAGTGAAGCCGGTTTCAAGCTTGCGCATGCGCGAGAGCGTTAGTCCCCGCCAGGCAAAACAAGCGTAGGGCAAACCGGGGCCGGAGGAGGAGATTGGAGGTACGGTGGCCTGGTTGGTTCGCACCGCGCCTGCGCGTTGCGGTGTTTGTGCATTCTGGCTGCGCGGCGGCGGCGGCGGCTCCGGGGGAGGGGGGGGAAGATGGCAGCGTCCTCGTTGGAGCAGAAGCTGTCCCGCTTGGAGGCCAAGCTGAAACAGGAGAACAGGGAAGCCCGCCGGCGCATCGACCTCAACCTGGAGATCAGTCCTGCCCGGGCTCGGCCTAGTAAGGGAGGGGAAGGGGGCCCTGTCTGGCTATCGCAGGCCCAGCTTGGAAGGAGCTCGGAAACCGACGGGTTGGGGGAAGGGAGATGCCGCCAAGGGGGCGGGAGGGACGCGGCAGAGGGGAAGGAGCTGAAGTCAAGGCCTGTTTTCTTGAGCGTTGAGGAAGGAAGCTAGGGAAGGGGAAGCCCAGGAACTGCGTCTCGAGTTGGGAAGAAAAATAAGGAAAAGAGTGGGAAGGAGGAGTTTGTAGAAAGAGATGTGTACAATGAGTGGAAGTCCCTAAAATGGCATGGCCTGGATTAGGAGGTTCCCTGAAGCCCTGTGTCAAAGGTGTTCACAGTTAACCCTAACTACGAGGTAAAGGTAAAGAAGTGACTGACAGGGGTGTCTACATGGACACACCCAATTTTTTTAGTGGATGTTGCACAACATATTTGCAATAAACTAGGTAAGGGGCTGGATTCATAGAACACATTCTGGTGGTTTAATGGTTGTCTAATTTATAGTTAGTGAACACCTGAATATGGGCTATGTTCACATCTGTGAAACATCAGTTGGGGCAAAGGAAGAATCTAGAGATGTGCAGATGAATGGATTATTTTAAAAAATGGACTTTGAAAGGATCACACTAATGGTCTTTTGATGTAGAGTGGAGAGGAATGAAAGCATTGGACTGAGAATGCTTTTAAAGCTCAATTGTGTGCTTAAAATTATTTAGAGTCTCTCTGCAAGATTAGTGCCTGTGTATGTCTGAAAACAGTGAGGTCCAAGTTCCAGGCTAAATATAGGATGTTTCCTATATTCTGCTTACAAGTTTTTGACTTGGTTCTCAATTAAAGCATTAGCTCTTATACTGCATACTCACAACATTCAAATCTTGGATATTTTTTAAAATTTTCATGTTGGTTTGGTTCTGAATTGAAATGGTGATTCATTGCATTGTGTTAACTCAGAAAATGGATGAGTTTGTTAAGTAGGATAAACATTTTGTTTGAATCCAGACATTAATCAGATTAAGTATAATATCTAGGGATTGTTCTTTTAAGTTAAAATTAAAAGCTTGTTTCATCTACATTTAGATTTATATGTGTTTTTATTCATTGCCAATAGCTGGGCATTCTCCATTTCTTTTTGAGCATACTGTTATTTCTTTTCCTAATTCTTTGTGGACAATGCTGTTAAATATAATATCCACACACCTGCTAATGATAGAACTGACTCAGAATATTAGAAGAATTATACTCAGTTACATACTGTTCTACATCATTTTTCTTTTCAAGTGTCTCACCAGCCAGCCCAGATGCCTATAGAAAAGCCTATAGACCCTAAATTGCTTTTCTACTTTTTCTCATGTTGCATACATTTAAACATGTCCATCGTGTTCTATTTGTTTCTGACTTGAAAAACTTCAGATCTTATAAAATGTCCCCATATGGGTTTGTTGCAAACCCCTTCTCTGTTTGAAGTGGGTCAAAATGTCTTAACAATGGCAGATCATACAATGCCAGTTTCAGTTTTGAGGCTCATTTGAGGTAAACCCCGCTAAAATAATCTGTTCAGAGAGCAAAGGTGGTGAAACTGTGATTCATCCAAAGTAGGTAAACCAGAATCTCAGATCTTTCTTCATTAGCCATACTAGTTGAAGATCCAAGAGAAAGGAACCTTGAAACATTCTTGTATGGAAGAATATTATGTTCACACAGTTTACTGTGCAGATAATATCTATATATGTGATTGCCATACGGATGGTAGTTCCATGAAATATATATCCGTGGCTATCTCTCATACCTATGCAAATTCCATAGGAATCTTGAAATAGGAATTTTCCTCTTGGATATCAATTTTAGATCCATATTGACCTAATGCTTAGTTTATTCCTGTTTAGGTTTGCTTGTGACATTCTAGAATCGTGTGTTGTTATCATTCGTGATAGGTTGTGTTGATAGGTGTCTTCAACAATGCCTTAATATTTCCAAAATCTGAACAGAGTAACTTTAATGCCTCCTTCTTTACTGTGATTTTTATTGTAACTTATTTTAATATAATATAACATAGCTAATGGTATTATGAATAGTTCGATCTCCTACTAGGCTAAAAGATTAGGTGATCTTCCTCCTTGCCCATTGCAGCACTAGTATTTAGCAATTTTCCCTGGATGGGGCTGCAGAATCACTCCTGATCAGCTGGAGGTCTGTGGGTTATTATTGGAATGATGGCAATTATACAAAAAAGGATGGCACAAACTTTTGACTTGGGTTCGGGGGCATAAGGATGGGTGTAAGGAATTATTGGAATTATGACTATATAAAAAAGGATAGCGCAAACTTTTGACTTGGGTTGGAGAGCTTAAGGGTGGGTGTAAGGAATTATTATTGGAATGATGACAATTATACAAAAAAGGATGGCACAAACTTGACTTGGGTTGGGGGGCTTAAGGGTGGGTGTAAAGAATTATTGGAATGATGACAATTATACAAAAAAGGATGGCGCAAACTTTTGATTTGGGTTGGGGGGCATAAGGATGGGTGAGGTCAGCAGCTCAGATATTTCTTATTTTCGACAAGGGACTTCAAAAAAATAACACTGAAAAGTGACAATTTCTGAACAAAATTCCAGTGGCCCAGTCTCTGGGTGCAGAGGAGAACATATGGATCATCCAACCTTGTAATAGTTAATTCACTGAAAACCTAGAGTGGAAGAAGCCTTGTAAAATATAAGCAATAATAGGTGTACCTAGGTTTTCTGAAATATTATAAGACAAGAAGTATCTTAAACAGCTTTATTCATTTATTTGTTAGACTGAATTACTTCCATAAGGTCACACTGACTTATACAGAGATTTTATTTCATTTTACCCCCACAAACCTGTGAGGGAATTATTTATGAGAGTATGACTGGCTGAAAGTTGCCCAATGAATTTCTATGATTAAAAGTGGCCTGGGTTTCTTTGGCCCTACTCCAATATCTTTCAAAGTGGGAACACAGTTTATTGAGAAATAATATTTATGAGGTATTTCGTATTAAAGATATTAACTAGAACAGTGTATGCATTTCTGCCACATCTTTTTTCGGTATCATATGACATCTATTTCACCTGCACTGAAGCACATTTTCAATTTGAGTCTGAGGTAATTAATTGCCCTAATAACTACAGATAGAGAAATACAAACATCCTAGTCTGAAATTTCTTTGGAGTAATGGTTCTCAGTATGTAGAATAAACTGAGTTCGTTGGGTGTTTTTTCATCTTCTGTTTTTAGTTCTGTCAGACTTTTTTTGTTTAGATCTGCAAAAGCAAAATGAAGCCATTATTTGATGAATTTCGCTTGATTCTTTAGTTTTCAATAGAGAATGCTTGGATTCTGAATTTTGTTTCTTGTTAGTTGTCAGTCACACACTGTATTTGTAAATGTGGATGATATTGCTACTCCTTTTAGAATCTGATAATAAATTGCTGATAATAGTTTTGTAGTAAATGATAATTTCTGGAATTGAAAGGAACTTTAAAAACAGAGGAAAAAATATTCTATCCATATACAATGTTAGGGTTTACCTGAAACTGAACTAAATAAAATTACTGCTGGCAGTTCAGGATTATATAACAACACTAATAAACAGTGAATCTAACCCTTGGATAGTGATCAAGTCAACTGAGGTCCAAAATAACTGGAAAGCCCTTGTCAACGTCAGACCCAAACTGTTACTAGACTGCAATTATTGTAATGCCCTGCCATAATGTTTACAGCTTGAGATAATAGTGATTGAATCCAATATCAGGAAGTCTAAAGTTGGGAGTGACTGTGTCAGGTGATCCAATTCAGATAATCCAGTTCAGTGAAAGACTAGTTTATATTCCTGATATTTTATAGTTCTGTCAGTGTTCCTGTATAAATAACTTCCAGCGATAATAAGACATTCTTGCAATCTGTGGATCTCTAATTTTAAACACTGGTTAGTGTTTAAAGACTTGCTTAGTAACCCTTAGTGAGCTGTCCATGTTTCAGTAGACAAACATAAATGTATCTCAATGTTGATGTATGATTTATCTGTAGTAGTGAAGCAGAATTCCAGTATTTTCTGTATCTAATGCTCTTAAATGTTTATTGTAATTCTGAATTACTTTCATCAAAGCCAAAGTGTTGTTTAATATAATTTTATATTTATCTTTGTATGCAGTATGATTTTCGGGTGAGGGGAATAATGAAAAATAGAATCAAATATATTATTATTGTCGGAGCACTTGTATGTAGTAGCTGATTTTGATTGCTAAAAATAGAGTGGTGGATATAGGCTACACAAAAATGGATGGACACACAAGGTTTAGAAATGGACAATAATTAAGCCTTTGAAACGTCAAGATTTGTATTAAGTATGAATTGAAAATAAATTTTAACTGTTTTTGCTTTCAGATAAGATGATTTAAATGACTTTTCTGGTATGTCTGTGAATACATTTTATGTTAGAAAAATGAATAGAATAGAATAGAATAGAATAGAATAGAATAGAATAGAATAGAATAGAATAGAATAGAATCTTGGAGGTCTTCTAGTTCAGCCCCCCTGCTCAAGCAGGCGAACCTATACCATTTCAGACAAGTGACTGTCTAGCCTTTTCTTAAAAATCTCCGGTAATGGAGTGCCCACGATTTCTGAAGGCAAGCTGTTTCATTGGTTAATTGTCCTCACTGTCAGGAAGTGTCTCCTTAATTCCAGATTGCTTCTCTTTTTGATGTGTCCTCACAGCTAGATTTTCACAATAATGTATAACTTTCCTCGATATCTAGGAATTTAAAAAAAAATATCATGCTATAGTGGTACTTTAAAACATTGAAGTTAGAGTATGAAATTTAGTTAACAATCTGTAATCCTGGTAATTAACTTTGCCACTAAAAGTTAAAAGAATGGACTGATATATCAAGAGACTTTGAGTAAACAAGTAACCCAAAAGTGACACAAAAATGGTGTTTACTTAATTTATTACATAAACAAAGTAATCCTACATGTGGCATGCCAGTGTGAAAAAGTGCTTCCCTCCATGAATCAGTTGATTCAATTAAAAAATTAAGGCTGGTTGTATGAATTCTTCTGTTAACAAAGCGGATTTGCACCATTTCTATTATTATTTAGCACATGATGACAACATGACAGAAGAGAAGTAAACATATAGACACAGTTTATGTAATTGTAAGTAAAATTTCTATGGGAGTATCACAGTGGCCTCGCAACTGGGTGTCCAATTCAGCTCTCCAGGTGATCACCTCTGGCATTGCTTCATGCAGTTCTGCCTTATGTGAATCTCAGAAATCTCTCTTCGTCACACAGATAGTAAAGGAATATTATGGCACCTCAAAATAAATTTCTGAAGGTCTCCATAGAAAAAGTCATTAATACCTATCAGTCGACAAAAGTTCTGTAAGCAGAAAGGTATGATCCTAAAGAATAATAGTGACTCTTCCAAGAACTGCTGCCTTATCAAAACTGCTCCAAGAGCACAACATAGAATCATCCCTACAGTTCCTCAGAATAGTATCTGGGGATCTTCAGGGTGTTGCCTATAACAATAACAACAATAATAATAAAGTTGGAAGGGACCTTGGAGGTTATCTAGTCCAACCCCCCTGCCCAGGCAGGAAACCCTGTACCATTTCAGACAAATGGCTGTCCAGTCTCTTCTTAAACACTTCCAGTGTTGGAGCATTCATTGCTTCCGGAGGCAGGTTGTTCCACTGTAATTGTTCTAACTGTCAGGAAATTTCTCCTTAGTTCTAGGTTGCTTCTCTTGCTGGTTAGTTTCCATCCGTTGCTTCTTGTCTTGCCTTCAGCCGCTTTGGAAAATAGCTTGACTCCCTCTTCTTTGTGGCAACCCCTGAGATATTGGAACACGGCTATCATGTCCCCCCTCGTCCTTCTTTTCATTAAACTAGACATACCCAATTCCAGCAACCATTCCTTATATGTTTTAGCCTCCAGTCCCCTAATCATCTTTGTTGCTCTTCTCTGTACTCTTTCTAGAGTCTCAACTTCTTTTTTACATCATGGTAACTAAAACTGCAGTATTCCAAGTGTGGCCTTACTAAGGCATTGTAAAGTGGTAATAACACTTCACATGGTCTTGATTTTATCCCTCTGTTAAGGCAGCCTAGCACTGTGCTGACTTTTTGGGCAGCTGCAGCACACTGCTGGCTCATATTTAAGTGATTGTCCACTAGGACTCCAAGATCCCCCTCACTATTGAGCAAGGTACCAACTATACTATACCTGTGCATTTGGTTTTTCTTGCCTATATGTAGAACTTTGCTTTTTTCACCACTGAATTTGAATAGTTGAATAGTTGAATCAGTGTTATAGTAACATAATAAAAAAAACATGGAATAAAAATGGGTTTATGAGATTAGCAAAGTAAAAACCATTTCTCAGTAAGAACATTGATGCTCTTCTCATTTTTCCTAGAAAAAATATCTGGCTGATCCTGTAGATTTCTAGAGGGCTGTTCTAAGATGATTAAAAATGGGGAACTTTTCAGGCTATATGTGTATTGTTATCCCTGTCAGAAACTAATACTTAATTCCATAGCTGTTTTCTGGATGGCTTTCTATCATTGAAGAAAGCATGAATTCTGTTTTGTTATCAGAAAATGTTAAGGGATTAACAGGTCATTTGTCCACCTGCTGAAACTGAAGTGGAACATGCAACATGATAGTGATTTCAAACCTATAAATCTATAAGAGAATGATTAAAGAGCAACATTTTGAACCAGCAATGTGAGTAATCACAAACTACAGGAAGCATTTGTTGATAATTATTGTAGCTAAAGGTGATGCATATACTGTATCTAAAGAGGAGAACACTTTTTCAAGCTGGCATATCATTGTTCGATTCATGCTTATGAAATATATGAAACAAAAACAAAACGTTAGTGTTATTTGTAGATCACTCGGTCTTCCTTTATATAGCAGTAAGACCATGATAAATCCAGGTAATATTTTGAAGAAAAGAGGTGCAAAAATTCAGAAAATCCAGACGAGAATAAGTTTTTTTTTTTCATATCATAGTGAAACAGTAGAATATGTTGTTGATGAAGTTCTAAAAAATAGGTTCTGTCTAGGAAGGATAGAAGAAAGACCATTAAAGGGATCTTACTGTGTAGGGAGCTGAAATATACAGAGCTTAATGGAACTGCTCATAAATACAGCAAAGAAATTGATTCTTCACGTGTTTGATTAAATTGTAGAGCAGATTTTCCACTTGTTTGATACATCTCATTTTCATCTTTCTGTCCCCTTCGTTGATTTTTTTCCCTACCTGAATTTCTTGAATTCCTTGTCCTGAAATTGATTTGAACATGAATTATTTTCATTTTGATGATTTGACTGTTTCTGTTGTGATTTATCGTGTTTTTTTCTTCCTTTTCCCAATCCAGTTATTGTGATCACTCTAAGCCCTGCTCCCGCTCCATCCCAACGTGCAGGTACCAGAACTTTTTATCATCGCAGCTTGGATTTCTTGCATCATTTATCTAATGCTTCTTTCAACTGCATAGAATTGCCATTTTTTTCTGCTTCTGTTCCAAATGCGTGTCTGACCCTGCTTCTTTCCCACTGTAGTGTTTTCCTTTACTACCTTTTATCTAGCCCTAACTTATCCTGACTGGCTAGACAAAGTGATGCATCAAGCCATGCATGAAAACGTGTTTGATTGTCCACAGCTGCATTTAGTTGCTTAGCACCTTCCTTTACTGATTATGTCAAAGCAATTTATGAAAACGGGTAATATTTAAATTATGTGTATTTTGGACCATGTCTTACCAATCTCCTTTCCTAATCCGTGCCAAATGCCTCTGATGGGAAACAGCAGAAATATAGATAACAATGTATATTAATATTTGGGGTAGAAAAAGCCACTACCCATAGGAAAACTAAGACTTTTCTAGTGTAAGTGCAGTTGTCTCAGAGGTAGAACCTAGTAGCAAACTGTCAGTGCTGTTGAGTGTGCTTAAGGGCAGAAAATCAAGGTTGTATGTTTAATTAGTCACAACGCCAGCCAAGACTTAAAATCGGAGCAGAGTACGTCAAACTCAGAACTTGGCAGAATATAAATTGCTTTAAGATTTCTAGGACAAGTTGAAGAACTCTAAACTGAACAGTAGGAGCATCTATAACAATATGTGAAGGAGTTATGTTTTTGGTATAGCTATTTGCATTACCTTTGAAGGACTGTCTTCCTCATAACCTGTGGCAGCAACTACAAATAGTTGCCCAGATTGATTCCTGTCCAAATATTCATTGATCCCAAACATATTTCTGTGAGAGACCAAGTATTTTGAGATCACTCTTTGGACCTGACTTCCCCGGTCTGTTGCTGAATTCTGACTGAATTCAGGTGTCAGACTAAGAATTCTGGGATTTGCAATCTAATACATCTGGATAAAGATAGAAGTTGTGATGGACATGTTAAGTAGAACTGATCCTCACTTAATAAAAACACCTTTAGAAATTAGACATGTAATGCTACCTGTACAAACTATATTTCAGGATTTCAAAAGATGAAATTGAAACTATTTTACTGGCAAACAACTCTTTAATAGAGTTAATGAAATTGAAGGTTTCATGCCATACTTGCATAACTACAGGAGAAATTAGTAGTTGTTCTGAAGCAGAAATTAAAATCCAGTTTTTTATTCATAGGGTTTCCGTGGTTTTGTATGGTGGTAGAATGTATTACAGAAAGAACTGCCCTTATTTGTTTTGCTTTCAGATTGACATTGTACTTTTAATAATATTAAAAATACAGTGATGATAACTTTTATTGAAAGATCTGAGTTTACTTCTTCCTGCATGCCCTCGTGTCTAAAGGGCATACTTTGGGGTGGGGGCAACTACATTGTAAATGTTCAGCTATTCATCTTGGATTCAACTTGTCTTGTCAAATATTCTCTTTGGTATATGTAAAAGAACCTCTTCATTCAAACTGTCAATTGTGAATTAATTATTGTGATTTTTTTTCCTACCTGAGGGATAGCAGTCTTGCGGTGTTGAAAATGCCGAAAAAGACCAGCATGCTTTGTCTTGGGAAAGCTTGCTTACTAATGCTTTGAAGTCCCTCAGGATGTGAATGTGTTTAAATAGATTATCATCCAGGCCTTCTCAATCTTGGCTTTTGCTAGCTCTTAACTTATGCTTTTTTTGCTTTGCCAGCTGTTCTTTGCAGATATAATCCAACAAAATTTATTATCTTTTTATTATGAAATAGATACTATATTAACTATTTTTCTGTAGGAGTATATTTTTTTTAAAAAAAGGTATTAATATGGAAGAAGGGGGGGAAAGAAAGATAATATTTCTTAAATATAATGCAAAGTTAGCCTTACATATTGATGTCATAGGTATAATTAAATTTGTAATATTTAAATAATATTACTTAATAATAGAAAAATGGGAGCATATAAATTAATTTGCATAGTTCAAATTTCTTAGTTCGGATCAGTTTACAAACCCGGATTCCTAGTTGTAAAATTCTTGAGCAAATGTAGAAAGAAGTTCTAGAGTTCTCTACACCATTGAAAGAGAATAAGTAGCCTTCAAACTTTGTAATTTCAACTTTGCTTCATTACAAAAAAAAGTCATACTCATTTCTTTTATCATCCTTTTTATTTCCAAGCCATTGATATATATGTGAGCACTTTGTGAAATGCATCTTTTAATCCATCTCCAACAATTAGTTGAATCCATCAGATTCTTCCTAAGTATACAAGTTCACTCTCCATAAAATATGGTTTTGTTGAATTGTGTTTTTAAATCTATAGAAATGAGATATGAATGTATGTTCATGAATCAACCACTTTTGACACTTGATTGGCTAAGAGATATTGTAGTTATCTAAAATAGGTAGATGTACTCAGGCAGTTAAGTTCTGCCTAAGCCTAATTGTACTGGTTGAGCATCTTGTAACACGATAGGTTCTTATAACTTGAAGCTTCATCCCAAGTCCTTGTTTGTTTCAGGTTTTGAACTCATTTTATTTTAATCATTTATTATTTTATTTATGGAAATACTTCATTTCCATTTTTCCCTAAATGTGAGTGGGTGGAGAGAATTCAATTTTTTAAAAAACTGTTGTGATTGTAGAAAAATGTTGAAAATGCAATATGCTGTTTGATACCCCCAGAATAAAAGCAAAGCATATATGTCAGTGAATTAGTTTCCAAGCAGATTGGTAGAGAAGGAAATCTTGCTGATACCACTAGGTGGATTGGCAGAATCACATTCATTTTATCTCAACAAGGATTATCATTTATAGGAAATCATACTTAAAATAGCATATTTCTAAAAATCAGCCTTTCTTAATAGAGGATTGAATGAAGCAAACAGTGTATTTCTTATTTATAAAGGTATTAGCTCTTTGAGACTTGATTGGATTACTTCTGCTTTGGATAAATAAATCTTAATGAAACGGGTACAAGAGAACATTTTTTGGCCCCTTTTATTATACCGTTCTATCCCTCCTTGTATAGAAATTCATTTGGGGCAAATTGGGCCAATTATGAAAGTTAAACAGGATTACACCTAGTTAGCACTTGGATGGAAGATCATTGGGAAATGGCAGTAGGCTAGACTGGAAAGTTGAAAGGATCTGACCACTGCACTTTATTGCCGAGGAAATTATATTGTGAGAAATCTGTAGTATCACCAAGAGCTGAGCTTGATTCAAAGGAAGTTTTAAGTTATTTATGCAGAATATTGTTGCTTGAATCCCAAAGGAATTAACGTGTACAGTAATGAATAGCAGTTTTTTGTGGATTAAAAAAAATGTGTGTTTTCTCTATTTCTGATAAACTTATCAGTTGATGTTAGAAAATTTTTCTCAGTAATCATTCTTTTAAATACTGGTTCTTAAAATTGACAGTCCAAAATAAGATCTTGGGTCCCAGCTGTTCTGGTGGTGCCGCCAATGCTGCGCGTTGGTAACAAAATACAGATAGTTCTTAACTTACGACCACAACTGGGATCGGTAAATTAATTGTTAAACAGTGTGGTTGTTAAGTGAAGTGCCATGTGACTGCATCCAAGTGTACGATCTTTTTTTGCCATGCTTGTTAAGCAAATCACCATGCTTGCTAAGTGAGATACCACTTATAATTGCTTAACAGTTTGTGACTTTCTCTGCTGGCTTCTCCATTGACTTTGCTTGTTGGAAGCCGGTGATCATCTGATTCCGGGCCATTGCAACTGTTGTAAATGCCCCCTGGATTAGGATCAAGTGACCACAGAGATGCTGTGATGATCGTAAATGTGAGGACTGATTGTAAGTCAGTGCCGTTGTAACTTCAAACAGTCGCTAAGTGAATGCTTGTAAGTTAAGGATCACCTGTATGGATTTTAGTTATGTGCAGACAACCGTAACATTCTGACCTAGAGTTCTTATTCTTTGAACTACAAAACAATACATGGTATTAAAAGATTTAATATTCATACATCTTTTTTATCTGTGACTACTTTAATTTATTATATCAAATAGCAGTTGCTGATTGTAAATTGCATTCCATACATGCATTCCCAAAAAAGAATAGGAAAACCGAATTGTTTGAATTTGTGGTATTAGTGTAAAGTAAGGAAGGCTACTTTTTGCTTAGCAAAATTGCTTTTTAGAAATCTAAACAAGTATAAATAGGAGAATGTTTTGTTAGAACTCTGTCTCTAATGTTCTTCAGAAAGATCATACATATAGTCGTTGACTTATGACCACAGTTGGGACAGAACCTCTGTTGCTAAGTGATGTGAGTTGTGCTGATTTTAAAAGATTTTTGCCATGGTTGTTAAATGAATGTGGTTGTGAAGCAAATCCAGCTTCTCCCATTGACTTTGCTTGTTGGAAATCCCCAAGGAAGGTAAAAAATGTCATGAAATGTGACCCCCATGAAATTGCTGTTGTCTTAAGTATTTACTAGTTGGCAAGCACCCAAACTTATAATAATAATAATAATAATAATAATAATAATAATAATAATAATAATAATAATAATAGTAATAATCCCCCAGTGAGGCACTACCTTGACGTGGTTGTGGGGCTTGTGTACTCTGAGGAAGATGAGAGCTATGCCAGAGGTTCAACCATACTGGACAGGTCTCATCAGAGGAGTCAGACAAAGAGTGTCTCTCCCATAAAAAATATGGTGAGACGTAAATTACAGAATGCCATACCGGCTTGGATGTCGCCCGGGTTAACAAGGTCCGCGCTAGATATTGGAGTTCCTGGATATCTGGTGAAAAATGGGTTACAGGACTCAGGACTGTTGGCTGAGCAACCAGGGCCAGCAGCTGCAGAACTACTGGAAGAAAAGGTGTTTACCCGTCGCAGATACACAGTGATGGAAAACAAAGAAATAATGATCTGTTACTACAGATCAAGTCCAACAAGAAGAGGATATCTAAAACGAATGCACCAGTTCTGGAAAGAACAACATCCAGAATC